CAAAGCAGCCAGTCAGGCATGAAAAGGCTGGGAGCGCTTTAAGGTGGATTGTGGTGGAAAGAAGAGGAAGTGGAGAGCAGAGAGGAAGGAAGATATAAGAAGAAATTATCTTGCGGGAGATGCTGTCAAATGCAAACCACTAGTCAGTGATTAAAAATAAACATGCTACCTAGCTAACGTTGGCGATGCAGCATCATCATCATCATCTCTTGTCAGGAGCCCTGTTCTAACCTTTACTGCCTGACAGACGCAATATGTCACAGTGCACATCTCCACACATCTCTCATTTGAATAACTCATGAACTCTCACAATGCTGAAGCTGACATCCAATTCCAGCTTCGGATTCGCCTATTAAGGGGAAATTTAAGGGGAAATCTGCCTTTTGCAAATCCACTTTGAATAACATTAAAAGGGCATAAGTATTGTCAGCTTGATGTAGTTTAAAGATTGCAATAAGTAGTAGTTTGGTCCCTCTGACTGATATATTATTAAATATGACATCATAACAGTCAGCTTAGTCCAGTGGTTCCCAACCTAGGGGTTGGACCCCTCCAGATGGTCACCAGATAAATCGGACAGGTTGTCGGATGATTAATGTGCAACCTATAGGCAAGACATTTACTTAAATTTCTTTGAGAAATTACTATTAAATAATAAATTATCATTTCATAAATACTGGTTAAAAGTTAGTCGTTGTGTCGTCTCCCTCATTCACCATATGTACCTTTGGTTTCATTTGAGGTTAATAATGTACTAAAAAGTCGTTGGCTCATTAGTTTATGTGTTTTACATGCACTAAAATTCACCAGAATACAGGAAAAGAAATCTTTAAAGTAACATTTTCCTGGTGAGGGACCCTCAGGCCTTCTGCTTAAAAAGTGGCCTGACTGGGGCTATATTACCCGCTATTTTTCCTGGCCCAAATGATTTTCCCAGTGTGGCTCTGGGTTAGCACGTAGCTACATGTAGCGATGTACTTGCAGCCTTGGAATGACTGTGTTTAATGGCCCTTACTGGCCCTTTCTCCATGATTGAACATCCATGATTATAATATTAGTCTATATGATGAAAACTCTGTCTGTCTGTCTGTGGGTGTGTCTGTCTGTGTGTCTGTTCCATGTTTTTCTCCTCACTGACTCGGTCAATCCATGTGAAATTTGGCACAGTGGTAGAGGCTCATGGGAGGATGCAAATGAAGCAATATTACATCAATTGGCCAAAGGGGGGCGCTATAGCAACCGATTGAAATTGCAAACTGTGAATGGGCATATCTCATGCCCCATATGTCGTAGAGACATGAAACTTTGCACAGAGCTGCTTCTCCTCATGAGAAACAAATTTGCCTCAAGAACCCATAACTTCCGGTTGTATAGATTGATACTTAAAATCGATCTCTCCTAGGAAGTTTGACCGATCTGCATGAAACTCGGTGAACATAATCTAGGGACCAATATCTAAAGTTCCCTTTTGGCAAAAGTTGGAAAACTTACTAAAACTAAGCTTCTATAAGGCAATGAATATTGCGGAGGGCGTGGCTCATCACATAAAGGTGTATAACAAAATATATCTCGCGAGCCCTAGATAAAGCCCGGCTGGATACTACTCCAGGTGGAGGTGTCTTGTCCTCGGTCACATCCAGGTCTTGAAAATAAGGCTGCAACATAATAATAATAATAATAATAATAATAATAGATCTGAATATTATTTGAACTCTACTAAATTAATTTGAAAACATTCTAACTCAATTTCATGGTGCTTTTGACAGCCCTAATACGCACATGACGACAGGAGGGGATGGTGGTGTGTGAATGGATTTACCCCTCCCACTTGTGGCAGTTATACTGATATTTCTTATCCCGTGCGAATTGGCCATTAATATTACCGACGTCCTGTGGTTAAGTGACATTACCCCACGTGCCCATGTAAAACTAAACCCGTCTGAATAGTGCTCTAGTCATGGTATGGTATGCTGTACATAATCATGGAAACTGTCAGTGTGTCATTCTGTCAGTCAGTCATTCTGTCTGTCCCACGTTTTTCTACTCACTGACATGGTCAATGTATGTGAAACTGCACATAGGCATTGAGGATTGGCATAGGTAGAAGGTGACAAAGCTACCAATGGGTATGGACTATCTATCTATCTATCTATCTATCTATCTATCTATCTATCTATCTATCTATCTATCTGTATATGACAGAAAAAAAGAGAAGCATATAGTTCCCCTTTAAAGGATGAATATTTCTCAGTTGACATTGAGCAAATAGAACATCCAATTACTAAAATATATATAGTGTATACAAATTAGATGACTAATTTTATGACAAATGGAATTCTCTGAATTAAATAAAACATTAAGTGAACGAGTACATGTGTTAGCTGTAATTACACACAGACAGACACACATTGAAAATATAAATAAATGAAAACCTTCATGTTCCATAGGTTGTGTTGTCTGAGCTAGATCACCGCAGTGATGAGTGGCGTGAGAGGTTAATCTTACATAAACCGTTGTATAATTCAACTTAATTTACATTTTTAATTACTTTAAACACACTGCTCAGTGACCTGGCAGCCCAGTTTATCTCTGCCTCACTGCTTTTATTATGTCAGTCTCTCTCTTTCACTCGCTCTCTCTCTCTCTGTCTCTTTCTCTTGTCTTATTCCCCTGACTGGGGAGATTATTGACATAATCTTCTCTCCAGCATTTGAAAGCATCTGTCTGAATTTCCACATCTCTCTGTTGCTGTAATCTTTAATTCTCGCTTTTCTTTTTTTCAGTAGATAAACATAAACATGGGAAAACATAAAAAAAGACAGTATAACGGGGCACAAATACTCAGGTCCCATGCAAATCATGTATTTAGGCTGCAGGTAAAACAAATCTTATTTGTCATTGTGGAGTCTTAAAATGGTTAGGAAGAAGATAAAACTGTAATGGAAACAGACATAGGAATCATATCTTACCACGTTGCTCACGTTCCAAAATCTTACATACAAAGTCTTGTACATTTGAAATTTTATAATATATTATTGAGGTATTTTCCAACTGTTCATACTGATTATTTAATTGAGAGTTTCATGGGCATCTGAGTCTAGAAACTGTGTATGAGAAAAATAAACTTTTAATAAAAAAGTCTTAGCCAACTGTTTCACATGATGAACACTGGGTTTCATAATTATAGACATGTCTTTAATTTTTTCAAACAACCTAAATAGGCTCTAAATAGGTTATTTTTTAATCATAGTTGCAAAAGTCTCAACTTACAGCAAAAGTGAAGATTACATGATCATAGGGAATCTGTGTATTAATAAGACATCATCAGAAAATGTGGGTTGTTTTTATTTATTATCTTACTTGAAAGGATTTTCATCCATTCATGCAAACATAAATCAAAACGTACAACAAAAAATGTAGCCTAAATAACGTCAGAGACCACAGTCATTGTCACTGTTGTATCATTATCATCTTCATCTCTCAACACCCTTTGAGTTACAGTCTCACATCCTCTCACACATCTTATGAGCCATAATGCAATCCCTGAAATAGTCACTGTAAGGCTGCATTTACAAAAGTAAAGAAAACTTAAGTTTATTTTTTTGTTTTTGGTAATACTGATGCTCAAAAAAAAAATGGAGGAAGCTTGTAGCACCACAGAGCATCAGTCAACTTTCCCCTTTCCTGTTATACTTAGCTAGACAGGCTATATGCTAGGTTCGTCTATGTTTCAGCTAAAGTTCGTCAAATTTTGAGGACGGTTAAAATATGTGGCGGGCGGACTGTCACAAGCTTCACAGACACATTACATCATAGCTAATGTCTGCAAAATGCTAGCTAACTTCCTGGTTAACATATAGGAACATCAAGATGAGTTAGCCTCATGTCAGATTAGAGATATCCGCCAGGTTTGCCTCCTCATTTTTATGGTAATGTTAAAGAGATTTAGAAAAGGACAGTGAGTTTGGTTGCTGACATATTGTTAAGATGGCATGAATTATCGCCAGCAAGAAAGGATCAAAGCTAACGTTCCTTTGTTTATATAATCTATAAGGCTATGTGCCACCCCAAAGTCGCCTAACGAACGCAACGTTCTACAATACAGAGAGACGAACATTAGGTTAGCAACATGGTCTGTATTTAGAAAAGAATACAAAGAGTACTTTACTGATCCTAAGACAGGGAAGCAAAATTTCTGCCTCTGATTGGCTTATCCTGACATTCTGGTCCTAATCACACATCTTCTTGCCCAAACCCAACCAATCAAACCAACAAAGGCAACAAGACCTAGCCAATCAGAGGGAGAGGAGGGCAGATCATGCCTTTGCCATCATTGGAAAACATACCCAGGAGTGCAGGAGCAATGTTGACTGATAGTCTTATCATCCTCGATTTCTACTTCTCTTGTTTTAGTTGAGACCAGAAGCCTAAATTTGTTTTGCTTTGCCTTGTTTATAAAAGTTAACATTGTGAATATATCCTTCCATCACACTGTGTAGTCTTTGCTGCTGGCTTTTTGAAGCTATAGTGCCCGACACCGAGAAACTATCTAGTAAACACTGCAGCACCTGGCTCAACGGGACCATGCTTCTTTTTATCAAGCTAGTCCGACTCAGCAACAGCAAGAGGGGCGGGACTTAGAATTAGTCAATTAGTTTGGTTCCTCTGCTTCACTGAGACTTGGTAGTCTCAATGCTTTTACCAACCTCCCTTGTTAAAGCAGAGGTTTGCAATTATTGCAATGGGATGATCGTGTTGCTCTGGGTCTGCTTGATGTGTAAGTGGGCGATTCTTTGCTAACTTGTTACCAGTAAAAATGTTAAAAATAAACATTGGAGCTTTGGAGCTGTTGGCTTGTTATGAAGTCTTTCTGGCTCCTGTGGTCCAGAAATCAAATGACATTGCTTGAAACAATCTTTGTATAACTTAAAAATAGTAAAGAAATGCTACAATTATCATTCAAAGCTGCATATATACAAATAATAATAATAATAATAATAATAATAATAATAATAATCATGTTAATAATAATAATTTTTGAAGGTATGTGTTTAAGTGTTGTAGTCTTGGAATGTAGTTTCAATCAAATACAATGTGTAGATCAAATCCTGACAAGATGTTTGTCACAGTCCTCTGTCCCCAAAAGTCTTAGCAGAGTGAGTCCTCTCTGTCCTCCTGCAGAGCATAATCTATCTCATCCATTTCCCGTTCACAGTCTTCACATCCTTCAGCACCACATCCCTCCACCACCACCATACCATGAGGGTCCATCCCACATCCTCCCACTCCCCCCAGTGCTCCCATTGTTCCAAAACCCATTCCCCCGACTCCTCCTGCTGCTCCCATTCCCATTCCAACCCCATTTCCTCCAACTGCTCCTACCCCCATTCCTCCGACCCCTCCTACTGCTCCAACTCCTCCCATTCCAATCCCAACAGCTCCCATCCCTCCAACTCCAATCCCTCCTCCGCCAACAAGCAGCGCTCCCCCAGCGCTACACGCCAGAGGACCAACAGCTGGTCCCACTCCTCTAGGCCACAGCGGGTCCATGAGTGCCCCCTGCTGGCCGAGCTGAATTAGCTGACTGACGGAGTAAACCCCTCCGCTGCCTGCTCGAACAACCTCCTCGTAGGAGGGGGCACGGGCAGCAGCGCGAGCCTCCTCCAGCCTCACCCGGGCGCGGTGCTTCATCTCGATGATGGTCTTGGTGTAGGAGTTGAGTGTGGCCACAGCAGCAGCCATGCAGCAGCTGAACGACAGCCACGCCATGCTGGAGAGTACAGGGAGGAATGAGTTTGGAGACATTTTAACCCTTTTCATCAGACCACAGGCTAATGCAATGTGTTGTTTGAAGGCCTGGTCACACCACAAAAGGCACAGCATAGTTCATCCATGTGTTGCTGCCAAATATTTGGTGCTAGAAGTTGGTTGACATGGTGACTACGTGCAGGGCTGGTTGAAAACTACCAACAACTGTATCATCAACTCATCTGTCTCATAATTGTCTCAAACTGCGCTTGAAGTTGTGATACAGTTTATACTCAGACTTAGGAGTTTAAATTAAAATGATGGTGCAACACAGCCAATGAGCTATGATAGCTTCCTCTTTTTTGAACTTTCTGACTCTCAGAACAGCTCAAATGTACAGGAAAAAATTGAACCTGTGAGGAAATCTTCTAATTGCAGCAAAACCTTTTAAAAGAATTGCTTCAGCCGCAAGATTTCATAGCTGGTTGTGACCAAGCCTGAAGTCCAATTTTTCAGGGGGGTTAAATTAAAACAAACTTACGCAAAAGACCATCCGTAGTCCCATGTCTGTGGCCTCCAGTCTTTGGGCCCGATGCTCACAGTCATCTGAAACACTGTGGTGTACATCATGTGTGCTACCATCCCCATCATACCTGGTAGAGGAGGAAAAGAAGAGAATGAGTCTGATCACTTAAAAAATGGTTGTAGAAATGAGTAAGATGAAAGACAGAGGCACACTCAGAAATAAAGGTGTTAACTAGGGTTCTTAGACTTGTCCCAATAGGAGAACTCTTTTTGTTTTCTTGGTTGAATCTTTCATAAGATTCCATCTTGAACCCTTTCAGATGGTTCTGCCTAGAGCCCAACATTAAGGGTTATACCTAGAACCATCTGTGAAAGATTCCAGCCCAAACCCTCCTAAGAAAGGTTCTACAGAGAACCCTTGGTCTAATGGTTCCACCCATATCCCTCTGTATCCAGACCCTTTCCACCATCTATGGGTGCTAACAAGAACCCATCCAGGATGTCTACCAAGAGCTCCAAAAATAGTTACTGACTACACTTCCCAAAGATCTCTCTCCCACCAGCGATGGGTTTAGTTTAACAGGTTAGTGCGGGGCCAAGGGAAACATGTCCAGCAGCCATCATAAAGATCCTTGAGGGCCAGGCTGATGCAGTCCAGCAAAACCCACAATACCCATGGTTCACAATCATGTTTTTAGGGGGTAGAAATTTTGTAAAATCACTACCACTACAGCTTTTACTATTTCAGTGGTGCTGTAGAGTTGGTAAATGAAACTCCAAGATTACAGTGAAATACAGTATAGCAAATACCCAGTTCCAATAAAAAAAAATAAATGAATAAGAAAAGAAAAGAAAGAATTTTGGCAGACCATGTAGTACTGTATGGCAGGTAATGATGGTAAAGATTTCAACTATGGCAGAACGCATGTAAAGTGAATTGATTAAGGGGATTCCAAATCCATCTACAGGGTAAACGTTTGAATATTTGAGGGTAAAAATCTTTTAACACCCATAATCTAAAAAAAAAAAAAGGTTCTTTGTAAGACCAAAGGTTCCATTAAGAACCCTTTTCATTTTCTTTTTTTAGCACAACCCTTTCTTTTTCTTTCCTTTCTTTTTTTTTTTTTTTTTTTTTAAGAAAATGGCTCTGGGTAGAATCCTAGCCCTTTAGGGAGAACCCTTTTGGAACTCTTATTTATAATAAGGCAGGAATAAAGAACATTTGAAAGTATTAACAATGGGAAGGTAAAATACAACCAAAAAATCTTCATGCCATCAGCACACCTGAGTCTACACTTATAATCAAACAAAGCAAACATCTAGGGCCCTATTTAGATGGTCTAAAACGCAAAGCGACAGGCATGCGGCGCATGGGCATGTCCCAGTAACTTGCTAGTTAAACAGCGCGTTTTCAGACTGTGCGCCATGGCGGAGAGTCTAAAAGGGTTGGACTTACTCTGTGAATTAGTCATGGGTGTGTTTTGGACGTATCATTCAATAAGCCAATTAGAGTGTCACCTCTCATTCCCTTTAAAAGAGGCACATGGTGGAGAGCTAGAGAGCTAGTTAGATGGCGGACCTACCAACTGAAAAGAGTGAGCGTTTTACAGCTGAGGAGACGATAAATGTATCTCTATATCGACTGTCCCATCACTTCTGATGACAGATCAAAGGGGATTGGCACAGTTTGGCACATTTGGCACACGTAATGGAAACCCAACCTGATTTGATTAACACAGCTGCAATTTAATAAGTTCACATCCCTCTCAGCCAACCACAAACAGCCACAGCATCAGATAGGGAGTATATATTCAGCATCTGTCATCTTAGAAAAGTCAAAAGAAAAGAAACAGAGTGAGACTGCGAGAGAGAAAGAGAGAGCGTGCGTGCGCATGCGAGAGAAACGCTGTCAACAAATTGTAAATTATTCAATTCATTTTATTTTAACCCGGGAGGTTAGAGAGCACAGCTCCCTCTCCAGCATCCTGAACCCCCCCGCCTGAAGGTACAGGAAGGGCTGGTCCCATGGCTGCATCTGGGCCCGTCTGGTCTGGCTGCGCGCTGGCTGCGGAGCTGGGGTCATCCTCCTCCTCCTCCTGACAAGATGATCTTCAGTTTTACGTTCTAAAAGCTTTTTTTTTTTTTTTATACATATACATTTGTAGCCTACTTGTAGGGCTATAAGTTTACGTTTTTAGTTCACAGAAGCTGGTTATTGTTGTGTTTATGTCAAAACGTTTTAACATCTTTGATTTTGTGATTTACATGCCAAAATGATCACAATTCATTTGGGAAAGACAAGTTCATTTTACAGGCTATGCATCATCAGCCCGTGGAGGTCTGCTCGCAGTTCCATATATTCGGACACTGCAGCTTGGACCTCCCGGATTATGATGATCATTATTACTGAGATTAGATCATTCTGATTAATGACTGACCATTAAGACGTGTTTCTGATAAATATTTTAATGTGCACAATAATAACCTTCCACACTGTAATCATATTTTTATTTGTTATCTTTTGCATATGTGTGGCTGCTCCGTGTGTGTCTGAGCAGAGTGCACGCGCGTTGTGCACCCGCCAAGAGATGCATATTACTAACTTGTTTAACAGCGAAATACTGCGCCGTTGACTTTAGACCAGGTTTTTGTTGGTCACTGGCGCATTTGCTTTTTACGCCATCTAACTAGCAATGCGCCATGACTGCGCCTGACCACTCCTCATTTTTAGACCAACACACCCAGAGAAGCGCAAGTTCATTTGCTAGTTAGACGAAAAGGGCGCAGGGAGTGAAAATGACAACTGCGCCTGCATCTAAATAGCAATGACACCTGCGACATGGATTATGCGCCCTCCGCCGTCCACTTTAGACCATCTAAATAGGGCCCCTAGAGTTCCAGAATGGAAGAAACCATTACATTCAATACTGAACTGGCTGGCCACCTATCTTAACTCTTGAAAGTCACACTGTTTGAGGTCACAAAAAACTGAAGAGAATAAATAAACCCAAATGATCACAAATGTCCAAAAAGCCTTTTCTTCAAAGAAAATTCAAGTCTTATGACAGAAAACTATCCGTATCCAATGAAACTGTGATTAAATTCAGCAATTTGTCCAATGAGATCAAAGTTTTAATTATGTATATTTTGCATTTATCATCACTTTACTTTGGTACAGAGGAATGAATACCTCAATATACATGATTCAAACAACTACCCCTACTGATATTTGGGTTGTGTAAGGTTAAATAAGTTGATGTTTTATAAGACCTCAGCAGAGAGTGTGTCCCCCCCCCTCCTCACCTGAGAGGACAGTGCACATGGCGGCGAAGGCATTGATCTTGAGGGCGTTCATCTCCCTCTTGGCACAGAGGCACATCACTTCCACACACATAAGCAGGAAGCCCATGGCCAGAAGACCAATGTACGTGAACTCACTGATGACTGAGAGCCAGAGGACACCTGGAAGCATTGATTGGCAGAAGAATACATTTTGTGTGACAGGACATAAGCGAGTATTTGATGGCAATGTATTCAAAAATACATACATATATATGTGATTGATTAGATGTTTAGACAGACCTTGTGTCTCTCCTGGTGTCAGCTCAATAAAGCTGCGACACTTCTCTTCCTGATCCTCGCCTGGAGGAACAATCACAACAGAGCTGATGTATCAACATTGTGATGGTGATTAACACAAATCATGATCAGAACATTAAATGCTTTGAATGTTAAATTAATCTTTCATATTTCAGTTGAATATCAACCATGTTTTAGGGGATTAAAGCAAAATATGTCTCTTTTTATAGCCTCTGCCATAACAGAACCACAAGGATTAGAGTATTATGTTACAACTGCAATATGTATTTTTTGTTGGAGTGTGATGACATAAATAATCTTTCGGAAATGCTACGTCTATACTCATTAGGAATCCTGAAAATCTAACAGAATGAGTTGCTTTAAAGCTATAGTGAGTAACTTCTACAGGTCCGTTTCACCCAAGCCACTACTAGAGGAGATGACACAATGCTGATTAAGCCGATTGGCTCCTCTAACATCTCGCGGTATTTTTCAATATATATAATTTTTAGTATGTGTGTCGACCGCTGGCACACAGGAAATGCTTCCTCACAACAAGAAGGGAGGGGGAGGAAGAGCGCAGAGTGTCATAGCAAGAGGTAGAGCGCAGGTAGAAAGAGAAAGCAACATGGCGGAGAAGCAGCCGAGACACGGTTCAGAAGTGGATCCTACCACAAAGAAAAAGCCTGGACGTTCGGCTGAAGGTCTATTAGCAAAGAAGGAAAGTGACCAACGGAGAAGGCAAACAAGGATTTGTATTGGAGTCGCTTTTCCTCGGTGGAGAGCCCTGAAGGAAGAAATTGGGCTGAAGACAGACACGGATGTTGCCTTGCTGCTGTTGGATAAGTAAGTGACTTGGTTTATAATTATATTATGAATAGTATGTGTTGTTGTTACATGTACTGGACCTAGTACTTTATTATTTTCTTGGAAATGGTGCTATGAACGTAATGTAATGTTAGCAGGTGTGTGGCGACTGGTGAGTGTACGGTCTGTGGCGAGTGTTACTCTGTGTACATGGAAGTGCCGCCGGCTTATTAGTTGTAATAACACATTATCCGCTGGGAGGCGACAGAAGTTACGCACTATAGCTTTAAGATAAGTGATCATAAGTGCTATACTGTAGGCAACTGGACTTGCTTGCCTACGATATAGCACTTATGATTACCATGACCTGGATGACTGAGAATCTTCACCGTTAAGCCAAGTGGTTCATGCTCATACTATGTCATTTTCTCTTTGACTTTTATACAATTAGAATTTTTTTGCAACCAGCGGAGTTGCTCATGTTGGCCATTAGTAAGAATGCAGGTTTAAGGCATTGGTTTCACTTTTCAGACCCAGAGTTAACCCTCTGCGTTGTGCATACTTGAGGATGGTCTGCATTATGACAAGCACTTTGTGGCTATCCTAACATTTAATAACTACAGTAGTCATTTATAATATATTTTTTATCAAGGCAGTAATTATATTGCATATTCAAATACGCTCAAAACATAGACTGTAAAAATAATGGACATTTCTACTGTGACATCACCCATTGATTTGTGGAATCCTGTTTTAAAGTCTCAATGGCAGCCCTTCAGCTGTCAACAACTAGGTTTTTTGCAGCCAGAAATTACCATATTTGGACGAGAGGGTGGAGCTGTGGGAGCTCGGCAGACAGACTGACACACAAACCAACTATTAATAATTATGCAGAGCCTTAATGAGATGTAAATGGGTGAGTTTTAAAAAAATCACCCCCTGTACAGTTACATGAATGGAGAAATTACCCGTAGAGACCCAAGGTATTTTGGTACCAGGCTGTACATGTTTCTTTCTGCTGTAAAGTTGGGCATTTAAACATGAGGGTCTGTGGGGACTGACTAGCCCTTTTTAAACAGGAATTGTGCAAATGTGCAGGAAAGCCCAATCAGTCTTTTTTCAGCATTGGCAGTATAAAAACAAAATCGGGGAGTGTGGCAAAATGCCGCCTACCTACTTTTGTTTATACAGAATGCGCCTTTTTTGGGGCAATGGGGGGCGTGAGCAAGTAACAAAACATGTAGCTCAGTGTGTGACGTAAACAGTGACGTGGGATGAAAGCCGCGGCTGGTCAGTCCTTCAGCAATTCTCTCATAAGTCAGCCCGTTCTTCACCGTCCCCATCATCTGACGATTAATGGCCTCTTCGTTTGCGAGGACAAGGAGGGCGCGCAATTCCTTGTCTCCTCAGCTGCTCATCTTTACAGTGTCTGTCAGGTTTGCATTTCCCTCTTGCTACTAGCTGCTCGCTAATTCCTGCTATCAGCTGTTTCCTGTTTATCCACCGCCAGTGGGTCGCACGTGCGGCATCATCAACAGCTCCTCCCACAAGTCCTCAACAGCCCCTCCCATTGCGGAAGGCCGCCTCGCTCTGTTTAAACTAAAATGGTTCCACCAATATGACTACCCTATGAGGCGAAAAATTGGGCACCTTGGATCAACTCGCCAATCCGGCTCTGTGTATCTACACGCTCGCAGCTTGCTGGCAAAACGGCCCAACATTTGCGGAAAATCTGGCAGTGTAAAAGGGGCTACTTGCTCCTGGAGCCAGCCTCAAGTGGCCATTAGAGGAACTGCAGTTTCTGGTTTAATTTTTCAGCCCCGGAGGTTGCCGCTTGGTGTTAACACAGTATTAAGGAATGTATTCTTGTAATCACACTACTTTCATTGCTAAAAAAAGTTCTTCATATTACGTAAACATATGTCAGGTACTGAATTGGTACCATACAGCTGCTTCCAAAAATTAACCCTTTGTTGTTTGACCACTGTGTTCTTGTAATTATAGCTGTTTATGCTCCCATCACCAACCTTCATTGTGCTTCTCACAGGAGAGCCAGAAGCCGGTGTGGAAATAGCGCAGCATGTACTTGTCCTCGCCTGTTTCCCAGATGTAGTGGACTGCATTGGCCAACTGCTTCCTCTTTATCCTGGCCAGCTCCTCCCTCTGCAGCGGAGACAGCGTCACATTGGAGGGAGGGTGCCTTGGGTCCGGGGTGGGGGTCTCTGAATGGGGAAAAGAAATTAAGGAATACAGAAGTAGATAAGTAGGCTCAGGAGTACGAGATGCAGAAGCAGAGAGATACATTCATAAATGAAATGTTTTCCTCACTGCAGTTTGGGATCCTCTTTAAAGCAAACGTGCCAAAAAACTGTGACATAAATACTACGAGGGGTCTCCTTTGGGTCACAGCATGTAACACAACCCAGCCCAAAAACACTGTTCTTTAGGTAATCTGTCATTTTCTATGACAGTGAAAATTGAATACTACATGGAAACAAATAGGCTTAGTGCCGAAAGATAAGACAGCGGGTCAGTGAATCCCGATAACATGCAGTTGCAGATACAAAGTTCTGAGATTAGCAGCAAAGCTGGGATTATGTGAATCTCTGCTGGTCAAGTCAAGTGTTAAATACTGGAATATGAGGTGCAGGAAAAATGCTGTGGATACCATAAAATCCTGCAGTAGATTAGTGTTTGCTGTTTCTGGAAATATTAATAACGACATTATCATTATGCTGACAGATTTTCTAAGGGATGAAATATCAACACTTTTTTACTGTGACACATGTGACGGCAAGGCTTCACATACAGGAAGGTCGGAACATGCAATACATGTCAGTATTCTACATGTGCAAAGTACACATCATTTATTATGCAGCTTTATGTACAGAGTGTTTGTTTAAAATATGATGGCAGCATGTAGGTGCATTTTCATTTTAAATCATCCATACATGCAATATAGTAAAAAAATGTTTTTTTACCGATTGTTATTATGCCTTCATCAACACTCTCATCCCGCAGCTTTCCCCTCTCCGTCCCAAGCCCCTCCCCCAGATGACCATGGGCATATGCATGTGCTTCATACACTAACCCAGTGTTTCCCAAACATTGGTTTATTTAATCAGATTCTTTGCCCTGCTCTCTCTCTATATTTATCAGATCATGAATGAGACAAGAATTAGCTGCTAGCCACCAAACGGTCTCTCTGCTTCACACCGTGCTGCTGTGGACTGCTTTCCCAAGAAGACAGAACTCAGTGGTGGTAGCAGCTAAAATCAGGCCAGTGCAACCCCCCCAAAGCCAGGTATCACAACAGACTGGTGGCCCAGCAGGAGTGCCAGGGTTAACTTGTTGAATATCAGTAACAAAAATTTATGGATCCAACAGGGAGCTGTATGGTCCCCTGGAGATGTGGTTTGCACTGACTATATTAAGGTGGCTGCAGCAGTGGACTGGGGGTCAGTCTCCACTGCTCCTGCTACCCACTGTCCTCCCTGGTGAGATGGTCTGTAGTCGTGGGGAGTGAAGTGAAGGACATATTGTTATTCAAGGCTCTAGCTAATGTTAGCGACAAAAACATGAACTTGAAGCCGCAGCCGTGACTCTTTAGCGCCAGTTAGCAGAAGGCTAAACTATTAGCAACATTTTCTCTTCATCTCTGAAATGCTTCACCAATATCGACATGTGTTTTATTTTGTTTATTGTCAGACTCTCTTTAAGAACGTCATTCTTTTTCGGTTGCTTTGCAGTGTAGGCAGTTGTTGCCAAGCTGGAAAGTCAACTTTCTCTGCAGGATTCTCCACCACTGAATCAGACTTTCAACATCTGAAGTAATGTACACATCTGCAGTTCTAGAACAGCCAATGGGAAGTCTCTCTCTCTGGGATGACCTGTGATTGGTTATAGTCTCCTAACCCAGGCTAGATTTTCTAAAGCCTGAAAACAGAGCCAAGAGGAGGTGCAGAAGTCTATTTTTCTCTCAGTCCTCTTGTAATGCAACAATTCTAGGAACTGTAAGTGTACCCAGCACCCCTGTCGAAACTTAACATCAAATCTAAATGATAGTAATTGAAATCTACTGCTGATAACCAGACAAACAAACAGGGCTGAAAACATGATGGAAGGAATGGTAATGTTAGACCCTCCTAGGCCAATTTAGTGAAAGCTGTTTCACTGTGTAAAACATAACTTTTAAGTTCCAGATATACACAGATTTCATGGTTTGGCAGCCAACAGACTTTAAGCTGGTAAATTTGTGGTGCATTCTGTTGAAAAGTGAAAGTTGGTTTAGACTTCTGTGTTACATAAAACTGTATAAACGTGTTTTGATGAATCTGAAGGATATGCTGAAATATGAACATTTAAATGCTGTTGAAACAATTATTATTTATAATCTAGATGTGTAAAAATTGGTCACTCTTCTACCAAATGTTTCCCAGTATTAACACCAGACACACAGACTTACAAATACACCCATTTTGAATGTTATCCAACCATTACATAGCTGTTACCAGTGGTTATCAGCCTTGAAGGGACCTGCTACACCTACATTTAGATAGCCATAATTGTTTGTTAATTGACTGATTTCAGATTCATTTTTGTCAGGCTTAGGTGTCAAAACTACATGGTTGTGTTTGGAAAAAGATTGTGGTTTGGGTTAAAATAAGCATGTTTGTTACTTAACATTAAGTAACGAAGTGGCAACTTCCAGGGCTGAAGAATGAAGCAAAAAAACTGCAGTTCCTCAAATGGCCACTTGAGGCTGGCTCCAAAAGTTAATCAATCCCCATAGACCCCCATGTTAAAATGCCCAACTGTACAGCAGCAAAAAACATGTTTACAGCCTGGTCCAAAAACAGTTTTGGTATGCATGACTAAGGTAACATGCATGACAGCTGTGCAGGGGTTGAATTTTTATGTAACTCACCCATGTAATTATTATTAAGGCTTAAAGTTATGCATAAATAAGGGTGTGACCACTTCAGGTGAGGTGGCTGTTGTCCATTGACAAGTCGTAACCAAGGTGACAAGTTTACTTAGGTAACATAACCATGGTGTAACCACAGATTCACAGAGTATAGCTGTAGCCATTGTTGTTGCTAATTTTAGTGTGTTTTCAGTTCATAAAAGTAGACTGTAATGTTTTAGTTGTCTAAAAAAGGTCTTGTTCAGCATTTGCTTGTACTAAAAGGCCCTTAATGAGTTGGATGTTCAGTTTCTCTTGTAAGTACTTTTTGTTTTCAGTTTATATCCACTTGCAAAAAATTTGCATTAGCATTTAGCGCTTGACCCAAACACCAGTAACAGTGAAGCCAGGACTCAGGAGATGTTGCATTCAATTTGGGATGGAGAAATATTGGGACAGTGGGACTTTATAACACTGGAAACAAATAGCACTCACCAAGCTAGAAGCTAATATTGGGGTGAGCTCCACCTCCTTGTCCAAATATGTTCACTTTTGGCTCAAAAAATCCAGGAGAAAATTGGAGTCCACAAACCAAAGGGTGATGCCATGGTGGCTATGTCCATTATTTTTATAAAGGTTTTTATACGGTATATATGGTTGTAATGTGATGTCAGTTAAGTACGCTACACAAATATTGACTTTAAGTTTCACATGGGACACTGACAGTGGCCTCCTAGGTGAAAGTACTGTGTTTGTTTGACCCATCCACCGGCCCGACCACCTCCTTTTGTCACCCCTGACTTCCTCCTTAGCTTCAGTCATAATAACTATGCCCACTAGAGGTCACAGCCGAACAATAAACATGTTTGTATCCATACTCCCAATGACAACTCATAACGGCCATTTAATGGGCTGATTAATGACCTTCTGAACATAGTGGCTGGTTAAGCAGGCCCCTTCTAACCCATGCAGTGTGCATGAGGCTGATACCACTGATAATAATTTGATATTATCTCCCGGCCTCACCTGTGGTATACGGCTGGCTGTTGTTCTGCCCGCAGTTCTTCATCTTGACAGGTGAGAGGCAGAGAGGCTTCACCACCTTGTGTGTCCCCTCACACCAATAGGAGGTGCAGAAAGCTGAGACGGACAAGGTGAGGGCCAGTGAAGTGAGGGAAAGTGACAGCAGGGAGCGGTTACGCCTGGACATGTTCTCCAGCATTGTTGCTTCTGGACTTGAAGAAACTCAGGGAGAAATGAGTTATGATGACCACAGAGTGTGCTTCAGCTTCACGTTGAATGTTGATCTCTGTTCAATACTGGCTGCAAGAGCATGACAGGCTCTGTTGACCAATCAGGATGAGGATGAGAGGAGCGAGGGGGTTTCCGTGACACTGCAGTAACAAGTCCAGATAAAGTGTCGCGGGTTGTTGTTGTGGTGATTGATTCATTGCGGACGGTTGAAAGAGAAAAGAGAGAAGAAGTGGGTGGAGGGGATTAGGGATGTTTGAGAAGTGGAACAAAGGTCAGAGGTCAGGTGGAAAGATGAAGGGAGGGTGGGAGCTTGAGGAAGGAGAGCAGTCGATGAGCGGAGGTCAGAGGACAAGGGAATGGAGGAAGATGAAGTGCTGGGATTTAATCACTTTGAGCGAGTAAGAAAGAGACAGATGTGTGGGCCAGAGGTTGCAGGAGGAACTCCAGCTCTCCTCCTAGTCCAGTTTCAAAGAAATCAGCAGAGTAGTTTAAACCTCCCTTTTCTTCTTGATATTACGGCACAAGCCAGGCGACATGTCTGATTCCACACATTTCTTCTCATCAAGCTGTAACCCTAGACCACATTTCCTCTGCCATTATGACTCAGATCCTTTTCTGTTTTATAACCTTTTCTCCTCCTGGATGAAGATAAACGTCTAAATCTTATCCTGCGGATTTTGCGACTAATCAGTCACGCTTTCAGGACTCATCCTGTTCTTCAACCTGTTCCTCAACCTCTGCGAGTGGGATTGAGCTCGCAAAGGAGTGATTAGTCCGGTATCTCAGGCCTACCTCTGGGTCTGGTAATCTGTGTTAATCTTGCAGGGTTAGGTGGATGAGATTAATGCCAACTGACACTCATCAGCTGTCTTTGACTGGACGACCACCTAAAAGAAAAGAAGGGAGGGAGAGAGAGAGACAAACATCTGGATTATGAGATGTGAGGAACAGTTGAGTCATGTCTGCGACTGAAATCTTTGTCTCAGACATAGTGTCACGTAACAATATCTTCATTACACCCAAACAGTCTTTCAACAAACTGTAGATGCCAAAGGGCACAATCAATAAGTTCTGTGTTCTTTATGAACACTGTATGTAATGAAATATGATTTCTATCTGCAACAGAATTTATACCCTTTAACATAGTTTTCCAGCTTACGTAGATTTAAAGATAAAAATAGTTTTATATCATCTTATTTTTCATGACTGTACCACATCATGATAATATTCTACGTGTCTTGTGCATCATGTTGAGCACATGCCCCTCAAATTTAGCCTGACATATTTGCTATCTTTGGAAACTTTGGAATCTTCTCTTGAATTTAAAATAAAGCTCTGTGGGTTTGAATAATGTTTGGCAGCACAGCATGAGTTTGTAATGAGAGACGATGGCCAATGAGAAGGGGTGGAGCCAGACGCTGTAAACACTGAGGGCTCAGCCCAAACCTAGGAGGGTCCAGGGGCATTGTTTCCCATTTAAGGCAGCTATTTTTCAAGCCATTTGAGATAATAGAACGCCTAAAAGTCTGTACATCATATTGGAAAACCATGACCCATGCTGGCTTCATCCCATTGTGTATGTAATTGTTCTCCAACTGTCTTCATCACTTAGAAACCATGACACAACAACTGTTGAGGATTGCTAATTCCTTCATTCCTGCCACCTAAAAAGAGGCAAAAAAATGTCTGATAACATAATATTTTTAAGTTATAGATATGGTAGGAGATTGGCATAAACAGCATTACAAATCTAATATGCTGGAGTAGAGTTCAGACCTTTACAAAACCAAAATATTTTCTCGTCAACTCCACAGGAAGAAATCAACAGTGTTTTACATTATGATTGATGGATTTTATTTCCCAGCACACTGTAGCGAGTGAAGGGAATCTGCTGCTCACAGACAGACTGGGAGCTAATCAACCAATGTAGATACGATTAATAAATTAAAAACACATATAGCTACAGATGGATATTTGTGTGATTCAAACAGCTGTCTGTGCAGATTATGCTTCACTAAATGGGAGAAATGGACTTGGAGCATAAGGGGGTCTCTGGTTACCAGGGAAACAACTTCTAACCTTTCACCAAATGATCAATTAAAACCAGACAACCTGCAATAATATGGTCTATGGGGAGTTAGGAAGATATCCACTCTGTACTGCAGTTAAAAAAGAGAATTATTGGCTACTAAGGGAGGCTGATAGAAGGTAAAGAAACTAAATCAGTCGAATAATGTACAACTATCTGCTCAGGCTGCATAATACAGGTGTATATGTGTCACCATGGGTCTTGCAGGTTAAGCAGATGCTGGATGAATGTGGCTTGTTTCACCTCTTGCTCTCACAAAGTGTAACAACATCAACTGGTTAAAACTAACTGATGAACAGAGGCTAAAAGAGGAGAGTTTGAACTGGAGAAGTATCTGTTGCATGACACCTAAAAGTACAGACAGGCTATTTGTAATTTTAGAGTAAATAACACCAGAAATCCAGAAGTCACTGGAAGATATAAAGGGCTGGACAGAAATCAGAGGATCTGCAACATGTGTGATAATGATCCTGAGTATCAAATTTTGTTTGAATGTCTGAATGTAAGCCTGATGACTTACAGAGAAGGGTATTTGCCAAATTATTATTTAAACCGTCCATCTATGACTGGGTTAATTTTGTTATTACAATCAGATAAACCAAAAGTAATTCATAAACTGGGTGTTTTTTGAAGAATGTCCTTCCCTTTGTTTATGTAACATTGGTTGTACTTTAGCCACGCTGTGTCATTGTTTTGTTATTCTATGTAATGTTTGTACTCCATACCATGTGTTATGGTCGTGAGTCAAATAAATGAAATGAAATAAACTTAAATTAAATGAAAAAAAAAACAAACAAACAAGTGAGGCTGATTAATGTGTTAAACAGTGAAAATCAGGCTTAAATGTGATCTTCAATACTCTGAAATGAATATAACACCGAAGACACAGAACATGTACCCAATAACATTAGATTTCTTTAGGGTATACCATAGATTTGGGGCTTTTGAGAAAATATTCGGAGCTGGAACCTCAGAAGCCACCTCCCCACTCCAATACGATTTGAGTTAACAGGTTATCTGTCTGTCCCAAAAAAGAGTTCTGATGTACTCATGCAGAAAAAAACATCATCCTCATCTTTTTCTCCCCTGATCAGAGGCAACATCCTTTCATTCAAATCATTCTGATCATAAAGGTTATGTTCAACCAGGCTTTAATTTATTCTATCAAATCCTCTCCTGGTGTAAAACGATAATCCATACAGTACACTGAGGCTGTTAGTGTTCTACCTTTACTTACTGTACATGTGTTGATATGTCTCCACACACCTGTCCATGTTATCAGCATCTGACAGATTAACTGATGCAGGCAAACAGCTTTGAGACATGAAGTCAGTCTGCTATTTCACCCAACAGAACATTGATTTTTAGGGAGTTTTGTTTGGTAAATTCTGTTTTGACTGGTCTAAATGTCTCTACAGAGAGATGAAAACACTGAATATATTATCTACATTAAAACAGCAGGAGATTCACAGTAAATAAATTGCTTTCCCTGTCTGTACTATAGAAACAGAATGGTACTCATTTTGTGTCTATGATTTGTATCATCTCATCATGATAAGCTGAAATCGTTGTATGTGATTGGAAAAATCCAGCTGCTGTTAACACTAAACTTTTGATCAGCTTACACTCAAGCAACAAAATAAAAACACTTAAAAAAACATTTGGACTCACCGTGTTTGAGGACTCTTTATGTTTCTTTCACCTCTCCTCCAGCAGAGATTCAGTTTCCTTCACCTTCCCTCTACGCTCCCTCGTCACTCCCTCCTCTGTCTTGGGTGAGTTTCTATCAGAAACCACCCAGATTTCTCTAATCCTCACAAGTCCATCTGTTACTTTCCCTCCCCTTTGCTCTCTATAGTGTGTCTATTCATCACCAGCTCTCCCTCTCTTATTTTCTTCATCTCTCCTCCTCTCTCACTCATAACCCTCCTGACCTCCACTCCTATAGTGATTAATCTGACAGTATGGTATGGAACAGCTTGAACTGAGATAAGAGTGACAGTGTTGTGGTCTCATGGTTCGTGGTGCTCTCTAAACTTCAACCCTTCTTAACACAAACCAGTACAGCTTTACAGTATAGCCTATACCACTGATGGATTTAGGCAATCCCATGACAAGAAAGTCATTGGTTTGAATCTCTGATTGGAAAATAAGTCATGAGTGAACATACTGGAATGGCATGTTTGGAACAGTTTATATACATAGTATGCATGTATACATATGTATATATCAAAAATCAAAATCAAAAATTCTGAGTTAAAAGAGTACCAATTGACCTTGTTTGTGTTTGTTTCAGGGTGTGCTGTCAACAGTTTTCCAGACGTCAATGGTGTTTTTTGGGGAAAATGCTTTTTGGGCCGCAGGGGATTTTTTTTGTTTTTTTTTTTGCTGTTATACCGTAAGTGGCCACTGAGAAAATTTGGAAGCAAGACTGTGCTGCTTTCCTGAGGGCCTGATAAATATACTTACGGGCCACTTTATTAGTAACACTTAACTAGTGAAGGGGCTGAAAAATAAAGCCAACACCTAAGTGTCAAAAATTGCAGTTCCTCGAATGACCACTTGAGGCTGGCTCCAAGAGTGAGTCAATACCCTTAAACCCCCATATTAAACTGCCCAACTGTACAGCAGAAATAAACAGCCTGGTACAAAAAACAGTTTTGTTCCCTAGAGGTAATTTCCCTGTTCATAAAAAGTAGGGGGGTTATATATATAACTTAAGTTGCTACCACAGCAACATTGGTTCGGTAAATTAAAGGCTGTGTAACCCCAGATTCACAGAGTGTAGCCATATCTGTTGCTATCTCAGTGTGTTTCACTGAAACCTTGTGTGTTCACTGACCTTTTGGTTCCATTTATACCCCTTTTCCATCGAATAGGCTCGGGCTCTTAACCGGTTCCATTCAGGTTTCTTGAAACCTTGGTGCTAGTGAAACAGCCCCATGTTTCCACCTGTTTTGAGTAGAACCATTGTAATTAATGAATCTTTATCAGTGGAGGTCATTGCACAATGTACAATGAAATTAATCAGTAGTAGCAAGATGGCTGATTACACTGACTACCTACAATCTTTTGTTCTGTCATTACATCATTTCTTTAAATCCAAAAACACAAGCATGGACCCACTATTATAATTTTAAGAAGACACAAAAAAACTATTCCATACCATGCAAGACTCCATCTACTCTTTCCAAAATGTAGAATATGACGCACCCCACTGATGTGGTCACATTTCAGACAGCAGGTAAAGGAAAATCTGCAATGTTTTGGTTCCAGCTGAGAACCAACTTTTCTGGTTCTGAACCAATTTATTTTTGGCCCGAAATGCTCAAAATGGTTCAAAATTGCAGAAACCAGAACGGACACTGTTCCGTGTTCATAAGAAAAGGGTATTAGAGTTTTATGCTCAGTAATGTGTGGTGCATCCAACAAGGACTGTGAGGTGCCCTTACGTAATTTCTAAATGCTCTTCTGTATACCTTGGCTGTACCAAGTGGATATTTGAGTAACTGTTGCCTTTCTATCAGCTTTAACTAGCTCCAATCTGGCCATTCTCATATGACCTTTGTCATCAACAAGGCTTTTTTCAGACAACGGAGTATCCAGACCATTCTCTGTGTAAACCCTAGATAGTTATGTATGAAAATTTTAGTAGAATTTCTGAAATAACTAAGGTAGTCCATAGGGCACCAACAACCATGCCACATTCAAAGTCACTGAAAACATATCGCTTCCCCATTTGGATTCTTGGTTTGAACTTCGGCAGACTGTCTTGACCATGTCTACGTGCCTGAATGCATGGAGTTGGTGCCAATTGATTGACGAGATATTTGTGTCAACGAGCAGTTGAACAGGTGTACCCAATAAAATGGCCGGTATAACTGAACCAATTAAACAGCTGGTGTTTTGTTGTGCTTTGTCACACTGAACAAAAGTACTGATGCTCATATTTAGTCAAGAACACAGGAGAAGAAGAGCGCAAGACAGGCCATTGTCCTTAGTTAATTTGCATTCGACAACAAGCTGTTCTCAGAGCAAGGCTGACTAGAAGGACCAAGTTGTTTTTAGCAGTTCACAGTCAAGCTAAGGTGATGAATGAGTGGAGATAGGCAGGTATATATACTGCTGGGGTGATTTAGTTATTGTGAAGCAGGTGAATGTGTGGGTGGTGGGAGGTCTGGCGAAGGGAAGGTTGGGAAAGGGATTACTAGGAGTGGCTGGATTTGAAATTACAGGAGAGTAAAGGAGGCACGAGTTACAATTGTCATGAAGGGATGTTTATCCATGTCTTATTATAATTAGCTTGAAATTTAAAATATGATCAGCATTTGTTATCTTGAGAAAAGAGGATAAGTTTGATCTTTAACTAATGTTGGTGTCATTCAGGTCATGGTAATCCTAAGTGCTTTATTGTTGCTGACTGGACTCGCTTGAGTTTCCTGAAGATGTGTCAGCAATAAACACATTTTGGCCAGAGAAGACAGATGGTTTGAAAGAAGCGTGAAAGAAGCCATCTACAGCAAACTGAAATGACCATTGTTTAACAGAGAAGGTGGCCTACGACAAAGCTTATCACCCACCTACAATGCAGCCTTGGGATCCCTCCCCAGACGGCTTGACACCCATTCACACCTGGACCTATCTAACCCCAATGACACGCATGATGGCTGGATGGGTCAACAATTTACATGTGACCTTTAACGACTCTGCAAGGGTTCCCACCCACACAGAGTTTAAAGCCTGCGACTCTGCACCAGCCCATTAGAACTGAAGAAGCCTCTTGGATGAGAGGTGAAACGTCTTCAAGAAACTCAAGCAAGTCCAGGTGCCAATGATATAACACAGAATCTGTAACTAATGGGTTACATATTTTTGGGAAATAACCCCAAAACAAATCTAATTGTCATCTTGCAAATAGTGACTCAAGATCCCCACTCTTCGCAATATCTTATAGTCTGTATCTAAAAACCCAAATTGAAAAACAATTTGCAGCAGTTATCTCTGTAAATACAGACTTTTCATTCACATTACGTAATCTGTCTTGCTTCTGTAAAAAAGGCATCACAGGGACTCAACTGACCATCATGTCCTAATGTAACACATGCTCGCTAACTGTCAAATTCCCCAATCTCCCCCTCTTCTGTTTTTAGACACTAAGCTCTCTCGTCATGAATGGGGAGGCTCAGAGCCGGCTCAGCAGTCAATCTTCCATTTCCTCCTCTTCTCAACAAATTCTGCGATGGCCTTAACCGACTCCACTCCCCTAACTCTTTGGGGAGATACAGTGAATACAAGAATGACTAAACTGTAAAATGCAAAGTTTAGTTCAAGCTTCTCACCAGATGTTTTAAGACATATAAAAACTCTCTGCTTTGAGTAATAATTAGTGTTTAAGGTATTTTTGTTTTCATTAGAAGCTCAATTAACAGATATTTGTTAAGGCATATATATTCTCTTCCTCATTGAAAAATACAGGATCTATAAATATATGTAAATGTTTTCTATTTTAAAAGATGTCTCTTACTTCAGTTTAAAACATTAGTGTACGTGCACTTGTGAAGTAAGCAGATTATCTGCTTTTAAGCACTTCAGAGCTGAATTTAATTTCCCTTCCACAGGACATTCTTTATGGTTGTGGCCCTATTTTTTAAATGTTTAATAATGAAGTGATGAAGTTACAGACACTGGTGGAACATTAAGCATTTCATACAGTGTAATATATTGTGTGCAGATATGTGAGTATTTATGGCCCTCTAGTGGTGACAGTAGGCAAGTTTTGTTGGGTTGCTAGACAAAGTTGAGCCCCACAAAATCCCCAATGAATAAAAAATGCTACAGAAAATCAGATATACAGAAAGGCCACAGTGTTGAATAACACAGTAGGAACAGGAAGCCAGTCACTTATTGTGTCATTTTATTTCTCAAATTTACTGTATACTGTCACAGTTTACAACACAGCTTTTTAAATACACAGCAAAATAAATTCATTTTATACAAAATTAAATTTGAGAAATAATATTATGGACTAGTTTCTCATCCTCATATTTCTCTACTACAACTCCTCTAAGCTTTCAGTCAAGTCTTTCACCAAAGTTCACATTTAAAGAAGTCATAAATACATGAAAGACACGTACAGGCCCATGAAACACAAAGAATGCTAACAATTTAAAACTGTGTGACCTTTTAGAAGTCACTGGTCCTGTCTGCTTTCAGGGTGGCGTCGATGTACTGAAATGTGAGGTGTTTAAGGATGATTAATCCTGCTACTGTTCATGTTTTCTAAGTCAAAATGTATCCTCAGCCACAAGAAAGCAGATGTTTGTAGAAGAGGAGATGCAGGTGTGTGTTGAAATATTTCATTAAGCACTCTCACACCAAATAGACGAGGGGCAGAGGAGGATCCGCTCAGACTGCATGCAAATTAAAGAGGTTGATATGTTTGTAATTCGGTTTTTATTTAGCCAAAGCTGCAGCTAAACGTCATACAATAATACATTTCTGTTCCATGTTTAATGCCAGGAGACGTGTTTGACTACACAGTGAATCCAGAACAAATGCAAACAGGGAAGAGAAAGCCACCATTGGTTACTGAGTTGATTGATAGTACAGTGTTTGAACAGCAGTATCAGACCGAAGCCAATCAACATGTCAGACCAACCTGTCTGATAATGACGCAGCAAAGAAAGTTAACCTGAACTTTGTAGGAGGCCATTGCTGCATCAATAAATAATCAAGCAATAAATTAATCAATCAATAGATCAATAAATAGTTACTCATGAATGTAACACTCTGATATACAGCATATTTCAAGGTTTATCTGTGATTACTTCCACTATTTACATTAGCACAATATATACTGCACACACAGCCACACACACACTGTGTGCATGCAGGTCACACACACTCCGCCTTGTACAAACACATACACACTTAATGGAAACCTACAATGACGTCGTTCCCGGATCAGTTCTATCAATGTTTTACAGGTCCAGTCACAGAAACCATACAACACTCACATCAACGGTAGTTCTTCAGTATTTCCACAAAGACACTCACACGTACAGGTGCTCTCTGTTTCTCACACTTGTGCATGAAGATCGATCCAATAGATTTGATTCAAATAGAAGTACGCAGTTCCACGTTTTGCATGTATTTCTCAGGGCGTACACATTTTTTTTTAATGTCAACTTGTACAATAAACACATCATGAAAGAATGTGATGTTGCGATCAAGATTTTTGACTATGTTAAAAGATATCAGTAGAAAACTGCACCTTAAACTGTCACTTTTTTCCTTGTGCCTTTTGGGTTTAGTGTTCAATTTGTTCGATAAATGAATGTGGAAATTTAGGGATGCACAGATTTATTGGCTGAACATCAGTATCTGCTGATATTTGCCTTGTTGGTTGTCCTCAGCTTATCTGGAAATAAGATGTCATTTACCGATGGCAGTGGGCAATGTTTCCTGTTGTGTTGCAGCAATTTTGCGCAGGCTAAAAAGAAGGACCCAAGACTAACAGTGTCGCATCATCCCGAAGAGAAGGGAAAATGGGTTTGGGATGACCAGAGATCTTTTCCAGGATGCCCTGGCGACAAAAGGACGCAGTAAACTTACTATCAACGTGCCCAGGGAAGTGCTAATCCCTAATGCTACATTGTAACAAGCAGTCGGTGGCCGGGACAGCTAACAGTTACACTGCATTGATTTACACTGTAATGTGTTAAAGCTCTATTCAGTAAAATATGGGATTGGGCAAAGGTAAATTCCTTCATATACCTTCATATGTTCAAATACAATCTTGTAAAATCTGGTTTTTGGCAAAGACTTGAATAAATGAAATAAATCAATGAAAATAAAATAAAAAAATAGATTTTAGAGAATAATGAATGAATGAATGAGGGATTATGATGTTTTATATGTAGTTCAAAACTTCTGAAAGAGTTTTTTAAAAATGTTTTTATGTGAAAGAAGGTTTTATTAAAGGTTGTTTTATACACTTGTGTGATTGTGCTTATTCAGTGACTTCGTGTAATGAAAAGCTAAATGACATTTAAACATATCAAGGTTTTGTTTTTTTTTTACATTGAAGATTTTTTTTGTCCCTGGCACTAGAGTGGAAATAAATAACAACAACAAAAAACACTGGTATCGGCTATCGGCCAAATTGTTATTTTAAACGTCGATATCTGCCCAGAATTTTGCAATCGGTGCATCCCTAGAAAGAATTTCCTTGATTTTATTTTATTTTTTTCAATCAACATCAATTTGCTGCATTTTAGCTGTATGCTGAAAGCAGCAAAAGGCAGAACTGAGTACACTTTATCTCTTTATCACAAGTAATATTGTTATTGTGATATTCAACAACATTATCGTATATGTTCCTCATATCATGCAGACCTAGTATTTCTGATAATATACTGCATACATTTAAACCGTGGCTATCATATTACTTGTGTAAATCTCAAGGGGAGGGCAGGTGTAAGCTGAGGAGCTGATGGGTTTTGCATATTTTAGCCTGACAAGTCGTGCAAATGGAACTACAGCTTATTTTTTTCTTCCTTACAGGCTGCCATGATTTCAGTTTGCCCATGTAAACATTCATTTTTGTCAAAGTAATGCTTTTATTACAGGATGGTTAAGTTGGGAGCAGGGATCCTCTCAAATTAATAGTTCATTTCCCATAAAGAGTTTTGGAAAACTCTTCTTTGCTGGTGCATTCAAGACACACATTCTGACATCCGAGCTTTGAAAGTTGGCTGCTGAAAAGCAAGTTTTTGATGTAAGATGGTCAATTTCAAATGATCTTTTTCCCATTTTTTTAATCAGTCTTCAAATATGAGTTCTCAAATAATTGAGATGATATAAAAAAGCTTTTTTAAACCCTTTAAGATCACAGCCTGATGGTACTGTCCACCTACTTAACAATATATGCCAAAAATAAAAAATAAAAATCAATTTCTATTTATTTGTATACCAAAATCCAATCTTTTTTCCCCTGTAAAACAAAATATGGCATGTGTTTAAGTAAGCTAGTACCAACCAATAATATCACAAGCCGCTAATAATTAAAGCTGCACAGAGCTAGGATTAAGTTAGCTAGCTAGCAACAACATGGTACGTCAGTGTATCTTCGTTTCCCCAAACTACTGTGGTTAAAGGCGGGCTAGAATTTATACACTATGAGGAAAGTGGTGTCTGTACTGTAAAAGCTCCAGATGATGCACAAGGCATTTTACAGCAGACTGCTTCAGCAATTTACAGTATGTTATATGGAGCACACAATGGGCTTTGTCTCTCTCTCTCTCTCTCTCTCTTATGGATACTACCATTACTATCCCATTAATGTACTTCTTCATGGCCACGTTTCAATAATCAAGTCAAATTTCCTCCCTGTCACAACAGGGAAGCTAGAAACTCTGCATAGGTCATTTCATCTGGACTTTAACTACCTATGCCTACAAAACTGAAATACCATTTGATAGTATTGTAAGGTGGACAAAAATTATGAAGGAAAATTCATGACATTATGACGGTAACTGAAACCAATGGCTGCCCGAAAGATACACAGGAAATCTAAAATCCTTGGGCTAAATTTTGGAGAACAGTTGCAACATAAACATTTGGAAGGCTAAAACATGTAAAACCACCCAGTTTGGTCATTTAGTATAATGCGTCTATCTGACAGGAAAGATTACACGTCAGGTTGTCAGAACAGGAATGGATTGTTGTTTTTGTTCATGGTCTCACCCAACCCACTGCCAGAGAGCAACTGTGGTTGAAAGGTGACTCCGTTCCCGGCCTGTGGAGTAGATCCTCCCAAATGAGCCGCTGCTGCTTGGTGATTCCCTCCAAAGAAACTGGACTGAGCCATTCCTGTTCCCAAAAGGAGAGGATCTGCCAAAGGATTCCCCACCAGAGATCCAGACTGCACCATGCCCACTCCTCCACACGGGGGGTTCAAGCTGAGTCCCATTTGTGGACTCCGTCACACAGAAACAGACTGTACCATTCCAGTTCCTGAACCCGGAGGAGCCACATGAGCTGGCTGACGCATATTTAAGCCAGAATGAGATGCTCCAATGGCATGGGATGGTAGCTGGAATAGGGGAGTTTCAATGGAAGGATTGGCGGCTCCAAAGGTGGGAGCGAGGGTGGAACCAAAAGGACTGTAGTATGGGGTAGATGTTTCAGGGAAGGACAGCCCTGCAACAGCCCCTGATCTGATCACAGGGCCAGATGTCATGCCTCTGGCTTTGAAAGCGCCTGGGAAATCAGGAGGAGTAACAGGAGGATGGTAGGATGAGGGGAAGGAGAGAGGGATATACAGTTTGAAGTGTTCAAGCAGAGAGAAAATGCACCAAGGCAGAGAGAGGGGTGAAAGGAGTTAAATATCTGCTGGTTAATATACACTATACTAAAACTTCAATAGGTCACTAATGGTCTCACACACACACACACACACACACACACACACGCTCACACAACAACATCTATACACTATACAGTGAGACCACAGGGGCGGTAGGGCAAAACACATAATCACAATAAGCTTTTTCCCACACAAACCTACTGATAAACATTTACTACTCCGACTGTCTTCACCCCTCTCTCTGTCTGGACTTCCGCTGAACAGTAGTGGAATACATTTGAAACATGACAGGGAATTACTGCTTTTTAGTGTTTCAGTGATTTTCCAGTCTTTGATGTTGATCATGCAGCCATCTGAGTCAAGCGCACGACAAATATTTCCACACAAAACTTTCGTCAAAAACGTTGCTTTTCACCCAAGGTGAGGCGTTTTCTCTGTCCTTACCGATGGCTTGTGTCTGGGCGACGAGCGTGTTGACGAGGGGGCGCTGTTTGGATTGAGGATTAGAAGAAAAAAGATTGTCCAAGTCAACAAGCGATGCCCCCGCGGAGCCCAGAAATGAAGCAGTCTTTCTGCATGTCTTCTCTTCCTGCGCTGTTCGCTTTCCTGCAATACAATAAAGGTCCAGTTCTATTCTAAAAGGTGTTTTCTTTTGGGAATAGGTCAGGGGGGAAGAGAGAGCAAAGCGGAAGTTTAATTGGTTATGATTGTTAGCCAACTGCTGATTGATGGGAGGATGAAGGTGAAATGGAGAAAATGGAAGAAAACAGTCACACATGCCAAGATCAGAGGAGCATATACTCATAAAGATAAATGCACACATGCACACAGTTAAGTTGTTAGAGTCACCACTGTCAGCTGAGCACTAAGCCAGCTGGCGTTGACTTCTATTGATGAAAAACAAGCATAAATTTTAGCAGACAGCGCAGAGGAAAGGTTTAGTTAATTTAATCTGGGCGGATCATTTTATTGCTGAGTACAAAGTAGACACTGAGGTTTTTACTCGCATGAATAATGGATGATCATAGATACAAGCATTTAGACGGAGTGTAAAGTGCAACTTACCTGTCCCGTTGCTAGGTGCGTCACTCGGCGCACCCCAAGGATCACTTTTTTTAGATGCACTGTCTCCAAAGGGGTCACCAGATGAGGGGGAGTCTAAGGTCGGAGCAGGTGAACCCCAGGCATCGTCTGTGTTAACTGGAGCTGCAGCTAAACAGGGAAATAGAGCAGAGAGGCTGAAACATGAAAAAATATTAATCCAAAGATAACACCAATTTTTCAGTCTAGTGGCTTAATTTCTGTGATAAAATACTTTCAGCTGTATCACACAACCTTTGTCAGCAACAAGACCTCACCGAAGCATCATTACGTGACCCACTGAAGAACCTCAGTCATATAATAACAAGTGGTTGTATATCGGGGGAGATCGTAACCTGTCTCTGGATGTTCTCTGCTTACTCAAACTATGCACTGTCGATGACTTTTGAGTCCTTCCCAGCTGATGCTATGACTAGTTTTGATGGTTATAGATAGCAGGTGTCTGCTTCTGATACCGTTCCAGTCTCTTATACCCTTTATCCATCAAAATTAGCATGTGTATGCAGAAGATTCAACTCATCAGTTGAAGACGCCTAAGAGATTTTCCAAGTTGAGCAGCAATTATTAATTCATTTTTTGTTAGTCAGTTTGCAGTGTACTTCTGGGGATGTTTTGGTCCACAGATGTTAGTCCCCAAGGGTTAGTTGGAGTGAGACAGAGGCAGCTGCCCAGAGGAAGAGAGGCTTTGCTTTGTCAGGCTCCAATTACAACCTTAACTTGAAGGCCACTGAAAATGTTGAGGGGCTTACTTGTTTTTGTATTTGTTACTTATTCAGTATCTCTTTCAAACTCGGTGCCGACTAATTTGGAACAATATCCAAATGCTGCTTGGACAGAAATGGATGGAATTTTTGGTGCTGTGTCATTGCATCCCGCCTGACAAAGGGCAAAAATTTGCATCTCCACCCAGTGTTTCCATTACTGCTGATTGGAGCCGATCCGAGCCCCTGACTACTGCAGAATCATTTGTCCATTGCGTTCATGTCGGTTGTAATTTTTTTTCATGAATGACAAAAGCCAGATGTTAGTAAGTTTTTAGTTCAGTGGGGAAAGGGGCTTCAATCAGGGTTGTGGCAATCTCACCACAGCTGTGATGGGTCAGCTCCTTGTGCCTTCAAGTCTCTCTCTGGACAGCCCAACCACCCAATAGTGTTCCACTGGGAAGATTCATGGTGGTACAGGGGTTACCTTTCCTCAGTACATGACCACTTGTTATCACCTGATCAAAGTTCTGAAGACACCTAAGCAACTTTGATTCGTTAAAGAAGGCTATATGATAGGGAGGCAAGATGTGGAAGTGAACCTTGAGTTCAGCAGTTATTAATTAGTTTCTTACCTGGGGCTCCCCAGGGGTCATTGTCCAGTTTGGATGCATCCCCAAACCCATCAGAATTATCAATGGGTGAGGCACTTGTCCCGTCCCCCCAGGGATCTCCGCCCTTTGCTTCCTTTGGAGCAGATGGCGTCCCCCAGGGATCTGACCCAGTGCCGGGTGGAGAGCTAGCAGAGGCTCCCCATGCATCTGCACTGCCTTTGGGAGGGCTCAGTGGAGGGGCATTGAAGGGATCTGAGGCATCATCTTTTGGTGGACTGGATGGCACTGTAAACGGGTCCTCTTTAGGGGGTGTTGTTGGTGCAGCAAAAGGGTCGTCTTTTGTAGGTTTGGATGGTGCAGAGAAAGGATCATCTTTGGGTGGTGATGTTGGGGCAGCAAAGGGGTCCTCTTTTGTAGGTTTGGGTGGTGCAGCAAAAGGGTCATCTTGGGTAGGTGCAGTCGGTGCAGAGAAAGGATCCTCTTTAGGTGGTGTAGTGGAAGCAGTGAAGGGGTCATCTTTGGAGGATACTGGTGATGCAAATGGATCTTCTTTAGGTGGCGTTGATGCTTGTGCAGTGAAGGGGTCATCTTTCGGAGTACCAAATGGGTCATCTTTAGGGGTGATAAAAGGGTCATCTTTTGGGGCATTAAAAGGATCGTCTTTTGGTGTGTTAAAAGGGTCATCTTTTGGAGCACTGAAAGGATCATCTTTTGGGGTGTTGAATGGATCATCTTTCGGGGCATTAAATGGATCATCTTTTGGTGTACTAAACGGATCATCTTTTGGGGTGCTGAATGGATCATCTTTTGGGGCGTTGAATGGATCATCTTTAGGGATGTTAAATGGATCATCTTTAGGGGCGTTGAATGGATCATCTTTAGGGGCATTGAATGGATCATCTTTTGGGGCACTGAATGGATCATTTTCAGATGAACTAAAGGGATCTGGTTTTTCTTTTGAAGCAGCAAATGGATCTTCTTTGTCTTTGGGTGCATTGAAGGGATCTGAACTATCTTTTGGTGTGTTGAACGGGTCATCTTTTGATGCACTAAATGGATCGGATTCATCTTTTGGTGCTGCAAAAGGATCTTCTCCATTCTTTGGTGCCGCAAATGCATCTTTAGCTACATCTGTTTTTGGCGCTGAAAATGGATCTTCATCAGTTTTGGTTGGAGCCCCCCAAGCATCACTGCTGGCTGCTGTGTCTGCTGTGTCAGGTTTTGCAGGTGTACCCCATGGATCTGTGGCTTCTTTAGGTTCTTCGGGGGCTCCCCATGGGCCTGCTTTCACCTCCTCAGCTTTATCTTCTCCCCAAGCTCCTTTCACATCACTGCCTTTGCCAGCATCCTCCCATTTCAGCTCATCTTCAGACATCTTGGCCTGGGATATTACAATTGCAAAATGAGAGAAGTAAACACAAACACCTACTACTGGCTTCATTAATGGTACAACTACACCTATATATATGCTGAAAGATGGAAGTAGTTTAAAAGTCCAGAAAAGGAGGAAGGTTGGGGTAGTGGATTTCAGCTCTTTAAAAAGCTACGTCATCACCATGTTTGTTGTTCTAAACCTAACCTACATACCTTTATTTTCCTAAACTTAACCTATGTAACTTTATTTTCCTAAATCTAACCAACCTAACCTCACATTAAGTATGCAACTTTATGTAAAGTATGTTACATGACGATATCATTCGTGGGACGCTAATTTGTTAGACATCAGACAAACTGTTGTATGTGCATTTTCCTAAAATATCATATGAACCGTCATATGAGGGTACATTGACAACTCTGTACTCTTATTTTAAATGCTTCATTGTCTGACTGAAACATTGCCTTCAAAAGATATGGTGAGTTAGCGAGTTGAGACTTTGTCAGATGTATGTTCATATAAATCTATGGTTATTTTTGAAGTTCTGAGTTTGTAGTTATTTTTTTATGGACGACGTTATACGATACTGGTGTACTGTTCATGTTATTGTGTACACTTGCTGTAGCTGAGCTCTGTAGTTCATATGCGCTTACCCTCCTCTCTGCTTCTTTCTTCTCAGCTTCCTGTTTAAGACGCTCTTCTTTGCGGGCAGCAAAGGAAGCAGTCAAATCGGCCACTGAGGGTATGTTGTCCAAGGATGGAAGTCCTGTGGCCCCGGCAACGTAGCATGGCTTGTAGCTGGGATCCTTGATGGCGTCCATAGATGAGGCTGGTAAGAAAGGATGGACAAATAATCGAAGCAGATTTGTGTGAGAGACGCTGACAACATTAGAGAATTACACTAATACATTTCTTTTACAGTTGAAACTATGGCTATTTCGCATTGATACAGATATATATCAGAAGGGCCCACCAGCTGAACTTTTTGATGTCTTCTCTCTGGTCTTGAAGGCAAATTCTCTCTCCTCCTTTAGTTTCTCGTCGTCCTCCATAAGAACAAGGACAACCTTGGCCTTCTCTCTCACATTTACACCCTGTGACAGATATGCTTATTAGACTTTGATTTGACTCTGACCATTTGAGCAAAATTCTATCTAAGCCTGAAAAACAATCCAAATGGCCTTGTAAGCATAGAAGTGTTAAGCATTTTTCTCTGGAAAGCCTTTGAATAAAGGGGTTATTACATTTGTTTGAGACCTCAAACTTACACTGAATCTGTTTTTGTTTCTTTAATTGGAAACTTGTCCTCGAGATTAAAAGGAGTATGATGATATGTATATTCTTTTGTCAACAATGGAGAACCTTAATGTACAGTATGCATCCCTCAAATGGATATTGAAAGTATCACCTGATCTTTGCCATCCTTTTCTACAAAGCGATACTCTGTGAGGGCTTTGACAATGTAGATGTTGTCTTTCATTTTCAGAAGCACACGGTCGTCACCGGTCTTCAACAGGTACTCCAGCAGTGTCAGGGACTAGTATGGAAAAAAGCATGACAATGAAAACATTTATGTGATATAAAAATGCATATGGGTGAAAGAAAAATAAACTGACAATCCATACAATTCAATTAGCATTTTTTATGTTTTCCATACAGTTTTGGAAGTCACAGTGCAAGTAACAAACAAAACAAAATCTGTAAAAATCACAACTTTTGGAGAGGAGAAACAATGTGCCAAAGCTTTAAAACATGAATTGCTTGTGGTGGACACTAGTGTAACTGATGTTCCAATACAAAGTCACATGACAGGCAAAGTGACTATGGTTTGCAATGTTACCTTGTTGGTGATACTAAGTAACTTAATAGCAGATATGTGGTACAATTTACATCTTTACCAAAGACCAGATGAATAAATCATGTCATGTTAAGGAACAGAGAATGCTTTCAATAAAAGGCAATACATATCAGATTAAAAACTGCTGTTGTGGTAAAAAGAAACAGTGAAAATTACAAGACAATACAATGTTAAGATTTTTAATCTTCTAAACTTTGGGTATCCCTGTACATGTTAAGAGACTATTTCAGAATATGCAGATTGCAAGGAATCTGTGTATGAAATGCTAACAAAGGTAATGTGAACAGATGGACTATGTATTTATTGTCTAAAAGCAGTGATTTGTTGATCACGTTGGTCACAGCCCTTGATTAGGGATAGTTACAGATTAATCTCTTACCCCTTTTCCACCAGCATGGAGCCCGTTTTATTCTGGTTTCTGCACTTGATTTTAACCCCTAAGAGCATTTCAACCAAAATAGGGCTGCACGGTATATGCGGTAGACGGTAGAAATGATATAAATTTGGCCCACGGTAGAGATTTGCGCTCTACCGTCCTATCATCGATGAC